TCGAGGCAGTTGATGTGCCAATGCAGTTGAGGCCCCGTCCACAGACCTGAAGCTGCATGCCCGTTGTACGTGGCCCCCCAGCCGGTGGCAGAGGCATCCGTGGTGACCACAGAGTGCCTGGACACTTGTTCTAGGGGAATACCTGCCCACAGGAACGAAGGGTTCGACCACAAGCTGAGAGTTTGGCGACAGTGCGGGGTTATTTGGACCCGGCACGAGCCGCTCTGCCACGCCCATCTCGGGACTCGATCGTGGAGCCAGTGTTGGAGTGGCCTCATATGAAGCAATCCGAGCGGCGTTACCGCGGCTGCAGATGCCATATGCCCCAGGAGCCTCTGAAACAGTTTCAGTGGTGCCGCTGTTCTGCGTCTGAGCGTGCTCACGCAGTTCAACACTGACTGGACGCGGGCCTCGGTGAGGCACGCTGTCATGTTTATCGAGTCCAACTCCATTCCGAGAAAAGAGATCCTCTGCCCGGGGGTGATTTTGCTCTTTTCCTAGTTGACCCGAAGCCCTAGGTGACTGAGCACCATGTCCCTGTGTTCGCACAACTGCTCTCTCGACTGGGCGAGAATAAGCCAGTCGTCGAGGTAGTTGAGAATGCGAACACCACGCTCGCACATGGGAGCAATGGCTGCCTCCGCTACTTTCGTGAAGACACGAGGCGACAGGGCCAGCCCGAAGGGTAAGACTTTGTACTGATATGCCCGTCCCTCGAACGTAAAGCGAAGAAACGGTCTTTGTCGAGGGAGAATTGAGACATGAAAGTACGCGAATGAAACCAATCTTGGGGACGGATGCATTTGAAAATGCGTTTCTGCGTAAGCATCTTGAACGGCAGCCTGTGAAGGGACCGGTCCAGGACACGCAAGTCCAAGATTGGCCGTAACCCACCGCCTTTATTGGGTACAATGAAGTATGGGCTCTAGAAGCCGGTCTTCATATCTGCTGGAGACCGAGAAGGGTTCCACACAAGCCCGACCTTCTCGGCGGCCCGGGAAAGGATAGCCGCCCATTCTGGATCAGACTCGGGCAACGCTACACTCCCCGAAGGCGGTAACGAATCTTCATCTCCAGAGGACTGAGACATCTGGTCGTCAGGTGGAGCTCCAAAGGACACGGCTGGTCGTCCATGAGAAGGACCAGCGCGTTCATTTGGAGGCTCCAACGGCCGCAGCGCTTGTGAGGCGTGAGGGACCCACAGAGATTGCCTCGGCGGGGAAGCCCTCACGGTAATCCTCAGATCACCCTGACCATGCACAGAAGTAGGTCTATTCTAAGGTCCAGAATAGACACTAGATCAGGGCATAGGCGAGGGGACTGCACCTCCCTTGAGGTAAGCAAGTCTCGATCTCAGCGCTGTCATGAACTATTCACACTGCTGGCGCCAGGGAACGACCACATCCAGAAACGCATAAGCGGAATGACATCCTGAAAAGGACGCAGGGTCACACTTGTGTTGCTCTTTTAGTTGAAAACAAAAAATATAAAAAATAAAAAATTACTCTCTCAGTGCTGAAGCACCCAGGGATAGCCGCGGTGTAATCGGGGTACACACTCACGAGAGGAACGCCCACCGAGACCGACACATACAGACACACACACACAAGCAATGCTGTGAAAACACAGCAGTTGTGAGCTGTAATGCTCGCGGCCACCGCTGATCGCGCCTTCACACCAGCACTAGAACAGAGTATTTCCTTTAAGCAGTCTTCAACGATGCAGCAGTCTGCAGAAACTCAGAGTCAAAACGAAAGCTCGGCTCCGAAGCGAAAGACAATGAGTGCGTGCGCCCGCTTCCTGTTTATACCCACGCTGCGGGGCGGGGCGCGTGGCGCTTCTCACGCACGCCAACCTTCATTGGCTCGTTCTGTAGACACTCGAAGTTTATAGGGCTCCCTGAATTACGTCGTCACGTCGAACGTTAGCGACTGAAAGGGAACGGTAATTAATTTATTGTTCTAGTGTTGTTTGATGTTTTAATTGTCAAGATAAAAATAGTTTTTTTAATATCTAGATGGTTTGTGATGATAATTAGGGCGAGGCTACGTAACGTCAGAATACCGGCTCGGAGATAGGACTGAGTATTGATGAGAAGGCCTACGGTCTCTTTTTAGGATGATTGTCTATTTTGTGTGTGTGTGTATGTGTGCTGTATCCTGTGCACTGTAATGTAAAATTTAGTCAGTCAATTCGTCTTTTTCAACGAGTGATTATTTATCGAATCATAAGAGTCGGACTACGCGTAGCCTAAACAGGCGACTCTTTCTGATTTGATTCAACCTTTCAAAAGAGTCATTTATTTGTGAATCGAGCTACATTGACCGCCACGCTGTGGCTGCATTACACCGCGGAGACAACTCATATGGCAACACTGTTCGAGATATTCATGTTCACAAATCACAATTTAGCATCTTCCATGTCTTAAAAACCTTAGGAATAGTAGTTTAAACTTAGAGCCTGATTTAAAAATAAAAAATATGGTCGGAGCTAATGACTACGTTTACATGTGAGTCATTCTACGAAACGGGTGCCATTTCCACTCTGCAATTTTCCAAATTTTCATTAAGAACAAACTTATTCTTTTTTTTAAACTTACAACTTTAAAGATATGTTAATCCTCCAAAAAACATAGCCTATTTTCCCACCTCAGGCACAAAATCCTTACCTAATAATATTATCCTTTTTATTCAGGCAGTCTTTCTTGTACCCCGTGACGGACAATATGTTTGCCGTTAGTGTAGTAAAAAAAGAAATATATATTTAAAATCTGATGTTTTCCTAATAGTAAAATGTCCCTTTTTTGGAAACCATTAGTGCACCAATAATGCAATTATTTATAATCAGAAGGTCTTAATCGCAGTATAGCCTATATCAGGGATGGGCAATGTCCTACAGAGTTTAGCTCCAACCCTGAAAAAATCACCTGCCTGTAACTTTCCAATAATCCTGAAGACCTTGATTAGCTTGTTCAGGTGTGTTTGATTAGGGTTGAAGCTAAACTCTGTAGGACAATGGCCCTCCAGGACTGAAGTTGCCCATCCCTGGCCTAGATGTTTACATGGCACGAGCAAAACTCTTCACTCCAGGTTCCATTTTCATTATTCTGATTATTTGCTAATAAGTATGCTTATACCACACTCAGATGGATCACACTTGTTCAACAACACACAGCATCCGTGTACGTCCTAGCACGTGCGCACTTTGGTCAGAGCGGTTAAGGTGTTTACATGCTTATTGCGATTAAAATCGGCGGATGCCACGTAGTTTAATGTGGATGATTAAGAGCTTAATCGCATTAGTTTGATGCGTTGGTGATTGGTGTTTTCAAATGTGAGTAAACATGGTTCCTTGTGTTAAAATAAATCGCATGTGTTGAACTAGCCGACTGTAATTATGTAGTTATTATGTATAGCTAACAGGGGAGCTCCAGTAAGGACACGTACGTTTCTAAAGTGGATTTACATAAACCATATAGGCTACATCTTAAAGACGCTTATTTTAAATGTCTATTTACATCTGACAGGAAAATCTTCTGACAGGAAAGTATTGCAGATGAGCACATCACAACATGAAATAGACATCTGAGTGATGAATGTGTGCTATTATGTAGAATTATCTGTTGTCAACACTCTTTACATCATTAGATAAATGAGCTGTAAGGTGAGTAACTAATCTATAAAGTAACTAAACATAAGTTATCTATTTAATTTGTACATGTTGGATAAAAAGTGAGTTAACACATCAGCAACAACCTCAACATGTAAATGTAGTATTGAGCACATGAATCAGTACAGGCTCTCAGCCCGATCTCACGGCAATTCGTACAAATTTTAGGAGGTGGCTAATTCGTACTAATTCATACGACCTCACTCGTACAAATTCGTACGATTTTTGCTAATTCGTATACATATTTTACGAGTGACCAAATTCATATGAATTCGTACGAATGACCTACCCCTGACCCCGCCCCTAAACCTACCCATCATGTGGGTTTAGACAAATCGAACGAATTTGTTCGAATTGGTCGTGAGATAGCGTTGTTGGCTCTCTGTATGATGTGATGAGGCAGATGATCTCAGGCAAGGACAGCCTACGGTGGCCGAGAGAGCTCAACGCGCTGCAAATGAGAAAACACATGCAAATAGAAAAAAACACATGCAAATAGAAAAAAACACATGCAAATAGAAAAAAACACATGCAAATAGAAAAAAACACATGCGAATTAAGAAAACATCTTCATCAATTTTACAAAACACGTGTGCTCCAAAGACTCACAACACAACCAAATACGGAACGCGCTGCAATTACGGAAACGCCCTGCATATATGGAAACGCGCTGCAACTACGAAAACGCGCTGCAAAAGTTCACAACACAACGGAAATGATTCCAGGGGACCCAAACAAGTGACGAACCCGGCTGGCTGGGACATGCGTAGACCTTAATAAGACCTCGTCAGTGGTGTTGTCGTCTGTCCATGACCTGAAAAGTAAGTTTGTTTTACTTTATTTTAAAATCCTGATCGTATTCATTGGCCCTTTGGATATTATTAGCCTAAATAATCTGAAATACACAATTAACTGTGAAATGTTATGTTCATGTTACTGGATTACTCTAAATGAACAGGGAACAAGCCAGTAAAACTACCTATAGGTTTTGCTGACACTACTAATATGAAATTAAATCTTTTTATTTCTTATCAGTTAAAAATTATTAACCTTAACTTAACTAAACTCTGATCAAAGGATACTAATACCAGTTATATAACTTTATGAAGCTAACAAAGTACATTGAGCATACAATTTAGAGAAAATAGCCCATTTCTTATGAGTGTTGACAAGCTATATTTTCATTCAGTGACAATACGTATGAATACCTTTTGTGTATGTTGAGTTTCTCAAATATCTGTTTTCCATTCCAAGTCAAAATGACTGCTGTAAAAATGTCTAGGCTATATCAGTGGCTTTAATTTGCTTAGTTACATGTTAGTATTGTTTAGTACTAAGCAGTCACATTGTTTCTCTTCCAGGTTATGTATTGTCCATATTGTGGACTTGAATTGGCTGGATATATTGGATGCTTTTGTGGTTCCTGTGGTAGCAACATTAGATTTCTGGCACCTTTTCTACAGAATGGTAAGCTCTGATAATACACTCAATCAGTTGTTTATTTAATTATCAAGTTGAGCCAAGTGATTGTATGATACACAGAACTAAACACAAATTCATGGAATCAACATAGACCTCCTGATACGGCCTGTTAAAAGTGGTAAGCTTAAATGGCAGCCCAAGTTGTTCTTTTGTTCTTTGTGCCTTTTAGTACCTGGATTTGTGCAGAAATGAGCAGATTACATATGTACATTTTTCAAACTGCATCAAATAGTTTACCTGTTTATTTCTTTGTTAATGCTGAAACTATAGGGGCACAGATGTTTTTTACAAGTCTGGTTTTGACGTGTGCTTCTGCCTTGAGTAAAATAAACACATTGTCCATACCTTCTGGTTAAAGTCGGATATGCCAAACTTAACTTCTACTTTCTGCTAACAAACAAATTCAAGATAAAGTGCTACGGGCACGAGCACAGTCTTGCATGATATGCTGCACAGCATGCTCGACACGGCTTGTTTGACCTTCCATTGTGCTACCTGTAACTGTATAAAAACAAAAACTCAATATAATGTCTCTAACAGAAACATTTTTATGTTTAAGATTATATTTTTGGATTCTTGCATTCCTAATGACGCTGTTCTCTTTTCCCTTCAGGCCCAGAAACAGTGTCAGCTGAACTCACAGAGGCAGACCTTATCCATAAATATTTCTCAGAGGGCCACACATATGAAGTGATCCTTGATTTTCTTGGAACAAAGCATAATATTTTCCTGAGTCTGAGCACCTTAAAGAGAAAGCTAAGGAATGCAGGCCTAACAAGGAGGACAGAGTATACTCCCATTAACACTGTGAATGCCGCTATTACACATGAACTGACAGGCTCAGGTCAGCTTTTGGGTTACAGAGCTCTGTGGCAGACATTGCGACAGAAGTATTTCCTGACAGTTAAAAGGGATGATGTAATGCATACAATTCGCAGACTGGATCCATCTGGAGTTCAACTTCGCCATAGGCACAGATTTGTCCGAAGAGGATACATTACAGCAGGACCAAACCAAGTGTGGCATGTTGATGGGTATGATAAGCTCAAACCATTTGGTGTTGCCATCAGTGGCTGTATTGATGGGTTTTCTAGGAAAGTGATGTGGCTCAGCAGTGGCAGCTCTAATAACGACCCAGGGATAATTGCTTCCTATTACATGCAGTGTGTATCAGACTTTGGACTTCCAGCACGCCTTCGCACAGACTGTGGGACAGAAAATGGCACTATGGTAGCCATTCACTGTGCATTAAGAGCACAGCATACAGATGATTTTGCAGGAGCCCTCAGTCACATGTATGGCACCTCAACTGCAAATCAACGTATTGAAAGTTGGTGGTCCTTTTTCAGGAAGCAAAGGTACAGACCTTTTAAGATTAATCGCAAAAACAAAAATGTAATGCTACTAATTAGTCAGGTTTTTTTGTGTGTTGTCACATGATCGAGGGTTTAAGCTGTGCCACAACATATATTATAACACTAGACTAAAATTTAATGTAAATCTTTTTCCTGATGCTATAAGGTTTTATTTACGAATACAGTTTAACTAATACCATTTGTTTGAAACATTTGTTTTAGAAATAATTTCCATATAACATTTATTCAGCACTGAAGTAAAACATTGTGTATACTGTCATTTCATCATTAGGACCCAGTTCTGGATTGAGCTCTTCAGTGACCTGAGAGAGAGGCACCTTTTCAATGGCAGCCATGAGCATAAGTGCCTTCTACGGTATGTCTTCTTGAGCATCTTGCAGAAGGACTTTGATGAGTACAGAGAACTCTGGAACAACCACACCATCCGACCTGTTCGTCAGTCTCGATGTCATTCTGGTAAACCAGAAGCAATGTATCACCTGCCTCACAGGTTTGTATTTAATCCATGCAATGTGTGACCATTTTCAGTAAAAATCAGATTGCGTTTTCACATGATTAAATTTAATCATTAATTATTTAAGAAATTAAATCATTATTAAATCATACTATATGATTGCCTAAAGCTGACGCAGAAGTGTAAAGTGGAATGTCTCAGAAATTTCTACTGGGACCCTTTCCACAAGTCCCTCACTTGACGATTATCCTATTTTTTTTAAATCAGAAAACAAGATTGATATTTAAAAAATAATTCCAATACTCTTAGACAAAAAAAAAAAAAACACCATTCCACAACAAAACCGAAATGTACAATGCACAAAGCAAAAAAGGTGGATTTTTCAGATTCAGTAACGTAAAGTCCCTTTGTAGTCGAAGCAAATATAATGACCATATTTGACCTCAGTCAACCTTTTGCTGATTTGACGTCAAATTCAAAATAAAAAATTGGGTTATAATTTATTACAGCTGGGGAACTGACTTGCATGAGCATTTTTTCCCACCTCAGCCTTTGTAGTTTTTAATATTAAAATTTGTAATGAGTTGACTCGTAGTGTTTTGATTTCTGACTGGCCTTAGGTTTGATGCAAGGGATTGTGGATTCCCAGTGTCACAGGAAGTCATTCAAGATTTTGAGGACATTCTACCACCACCGCAGCCCAGTCGTTGTGGTGACGGTAATCTCCAAGTTCGCTTTGCAGACTTAGAGAGACAGAGTGGGCTGTCTCCACCAGTCAACTGGATAAATGCTGTTGAGAATTACATAACACTCAAAAATATGTCTGGACTATAAAATCATTAGTTTATGATTCTGTGATATGATTATTTGTGTTACACATGCACATGTTACTGATGCCAATACAGTTAAGTCTTCTCATAATCTACTGGGTAGCTTGATCTGCTATTTGCAAAGAACATTTATGCTTCCAGGAGGGTATTGATTCTGGAGATCCTGTGTGAACAGCCTTCACATACTTTAAAGCACAGTATTTGTTATAATCCCTATTTTACTCATGTACACAGTATAGTGTAACTTATTAACTATTGACTGGGTAGATACATGTGCAGAAGTCAGAAGATTTTCACTTTTTTTCTTCTTTTTTATAACTTTGTCATTTCTAAATGAAGTACATCCAACAGCTTTATACATTTTAAACAACTTTATTTGTTCACTGCATGTTTACACCAGTGTTTTTCTGAACATCAGTGATTTAAGCTCTGTGTATAACACAAAATCTTAAGTTTTGTGCCAAGAACATGGCACGGCTGAGCAGCGAGTTGTGTTGACTGAGTTTAGCAATTTGGAGAATTAGAGAAAACTCCAGAATAATGTTACGGAGTTGATTCATGAAGTTATGTGAACAACACGCAGTCAGCATCCGTGTACGTCCGAGCACATGCGCACTTTGGTCAGAGCGGTTAAGGTGTTTACATGCTTATTGCGATTAAAATCAGCGTATGCACACTAATAGTTTAAAGCGAATAGTTGGGGTAGTTAACAGGGGCGTAGAATTTAGGGACGCTAGGGACGTGTCCCTACTGTAGCAGATTGGGGATTTTCCTCCATTACTCCCCCTGGTGGAGAACGGGAAAAATTTCCCCATGGATTCAGCTGTGTTCAATACCGGCTGGTTAATCATTATCATGATTGCACTTTTAATAAAAGCAAGCTGCACAGGTAGCTGAGCTTGTGTTCAGCCATTTCTAATTGTCCATTTTATGCCTTTCCCGGATGGAGTCGTGTAGTTTGGGTTACTTGTTTCTCCAATCTCTGGTATGTGATTTATTTTTGTGTCATATTTGTGTGTAACCTAAAGCCTGTTCTGCAGTTGTTGCGCATGCAGTGGTTTTAGATACGTTGTTCTGACGCAGTGAGTATGATCTCTTTTTGGGGATTCTTTTATGCTTTAAATATGCTTAAACTTCACTGCTGTAAGCGTGTGTGTGTGTGTGTGGGTTGGGGTCGTGTTCGGAGCTCTGTAATCAGCAGGACACACGGACCCAGACTACGCTGCTGTTTTTCTTTATTGTAAATGTATTGCTGCTTTTGTCTTCTGTATTAACATGCTGTGTGTTGTGAGTATTCTTTTAGGGAACCTGCAATTTAAGTGCTGTGGTTTTCTCTCTGAGACATTTGTGAAAGGCTATCTGGCCCACCCGCTTTTGGGGTGTAGTGTTCAACACACTGGAGTGTGGATTTGTTTCATTGCCTTTTGTAGTGAGGGTCACTGCGTGTGGGTGCAGTCTAATGAGTGATTACTTCAGGGATTCCTTTTCCTGTTAGTGTCTTTGATTAACCCAGTATTTATCTATTTTGTTTTATTTAAAAATACCTTTTTCTGTATTAACATCTGTGGGTAATTAAGAGGTAAATGTCTGAATGGTATTTATTAGTGAATGTGGTGTTCTCAATGTGAAAAGATTTTTGTAATAAATTGCTTTTAATTGTCAAAACTGTCTCAGTCCTCCTTGGTAAGAACGAACATGTGTTGTCTTGCATATCCTTGGGTGAAAGTCCTGAGGTGGCGTAGTTAGCTACCATGTAAACCGTGTTAGAGTTTTATTAATGTGAACTTTCAGGCTGCTTACCTTGGCTTCATCATCTCCCTCGCCACACAGACTGTAAAAAAATATAGGTCCCTACCAATATCCAGTGACACTGATTTGTCCCTAGCAATAATTTCGATCAAAAATTAAAATATATTTATATATAGCCTATAGTTGCCCGGTTGGGTCTTGTGGTTTTTATGTATTTCTTATTTTAGTTAACCAGGAAGCATCTCATTTAGATTAAAATCTCTTACAAGAGCGTTCTGAGAAAAATGCGCAAATCCTGGAACACAGACGGTTAATATATCTAGGTCCCGCCTGCTTAACACATCGCTGATTGGCTTTGTGTTTTCTTTCTAACTTGTGAGAGACTGTCTACATTTGATTGTGCGAAGCAGCAAAGCTCCTCCGAAGGAAACCTATATGCGGCAAGCATTATCGTTAGTGTGTGTGTGTGTGTCTGTGCGCGCGCGCAAAGAGCACTGAAACTTAGTAAAAACATCACTTAGTATGATTTTATAAGCCGTTTTCCAAAAAAAAAAGAAAATCCCCACAAGGACAATATTTTCGTATATTGCCATTTTTGTAGGGACAAAGACAAAATGTCCCGAAATCCTTGTCCTTGTGGGGTTTTTTTTATTTATTTTTTATAAATCATACTAAGTGACGTTTTTTGAAAATGCAGAAAGTTATGTGATAGGGTTAGTGTAGGGGGATAGAATAGCCTACACAGTTTGTAAAAATCATTATGACTGAAAGTCCACATTAAACATGAAAACACAAATTGCTTGGTCTGTTAATGAAAGGTCTGTTTTATCAAGTTGAAACCCTTGTCATCCCAGTATCATCAGCTGAGGCTGAAATAAATTTCATTGCTCTTAGGACACTGAAAACATGGCTCAGAACAATGGCACAAGTTGCTGTGTGTCCCAACAGGACAAACTGGACAGCATTGATGTGAAACAAATATGCCAAAAGTTAGTTTCTGTTAATGGGATTTCCTTAAATGAAAATTCTGTCATTACGTTGTTTCAAACCAGTTTCTTTCTTCTGCTGACCACACAAGAAGTTATTTTGAAGAATATTGGTAACTAGACAGTTGATGGGCCCCATTGACTTCCATAGTATTTTTTTTTCTTACTATGGAAGTCAATGGGGTCCATCAACTGTCTGTTTACCAACATTCTTCAAAATATCTTCCTTTGTGTTCAGTAGAAGAAGGAAATTCATAAGGGTTTGAAACAACTTGTGGGAGAGTAAATGATGACAGAATTTTCATTTTTGGATGAACTATCTCTTAACTATCCCTTTAATGACAGATGAAGACATGTGTTTTGCTTCAAAAAGCAAGGAACAAGACCGTATTGCACTATTGCATTGCACTATGAACGGAATAAAGTTAAGTCTCTGTTAAACTCTTCTTGTCTTTAATAGTTAACATTACAGAATTCATTAATGTATTGTTGAAGTCAATATAGACTAAAAACCTTAATATTATCCTATTAATTCATTTCCTGATTCCTCAGCTTCTGGGAATGTCCCCACCAATCTCAAAACCAACCTACGCCCTATTAAGAGCTTAATCGCATTAGTTTGATGCGTTGGTGATTGGTGTTTTCAAATGTGAGTAAACGGTGAGTAAAATCGCATGTGTTGAACTAGACGACTAATCTGTTGAAGGTGTAAAGACGCTGGACAGTAGCCTATGGTATAGTTGTGATTTTGCTGTAAAAACACGTTTTATTATGTATAACTAACAGGGGAGCTAAGGACACGTACGTTTCCAAAGTGGATTTACATAAACCATATAGGCTACATCGTAAAGACGCTTATTTTAAATGTCTATTTACATCTGACAGGAAAATCTTCTGACTGGAAAGTATTGCAGATGAGCACATCACAACATGAAATAGACATCTGAGTGATGGATGTGTGCTATTATGTAGAATTATCTATTTTGTTGTCAACACTCTTTACATTAGATAAATGAGCTGTAAGGTAAATAACTAATCTATAAAGTAACTAAACATAAGTTATCTATTTAATTTGTACATGTTGGATAAAAAGTGAGTTAACACATCAGCAACAACCTCAACATGTAAATGTAGTATTGAGCACATAAATCAGTGCAGGCTCTCTGTATGATGTGATGAGGCAGATGATCTCAGGCAAGGACAGCCTCGATGGCCTTTTCCCATCCATGATCAGATCCCAGTCTGACTGCAGTAATGAAGGACATGATGGACGGCAAAGACAGGCGAAGGTGGGAACGGTGTTCATCAGATTCATCAGAATAAAGCCGTAGAATTGGCACAGCTGTGTTGTGATAAATACGTTACCCCTCACACTTCCATATCAAAGACTGTATGTTGAACAGTGAAATTAGCTTTGCTGTTACCACAACTTTTTAAAAATATAGGTAAACATATTAACTTACCATAAAACACTGCCCGCTCCGAGTGGCGTCATCCTCGAGTAAGAAGTGAAGAATCCAGAAAGTTCCGCAAAAAATGAAAAAGTAATAAACCAGCTGCTGGGTCAAAATAACCCAACCAGCTGTTTATTTGTGAATGACCCCCTTATAACTCATTTGACCCCGCATAAGCAACCCAAGAATGTGTTTACAGTACCCCAAACAACCTAGCATTTTGACCCAGCACAATCAACCCAACAATTTGTTTACTGAAACAACCCAGCATTTTTTTGTGTATGTGGGGTTCAGCACCTCATGTGTTTGAATAAAGCTTTGTTTCATGTGTTGTTGACTTGTATATATAATATATTTATAATATTTATAATACATAATGTTCTTTTTTAAATCCTTAACTCATTTATTCATGTTTCTTATTGTTGTCAGTAAATAAAATATAATTAATTTCATTAATTCATTGCTTGACTGAAAATTGAGATGTGTTCACTGCATTTAGTGTATTCATGCATAGCTATGTCATATGACAAAATAAATTACATTTAGCTTGTTTTACTAAAATATATCATTTTCAGTTATAAAAAAAGTAATATAATTAAGTATTGGTCAGCATTTATCATTATTATTGTGCATAAGTGTTGGGGTGGGCTAGCAATGCAATTCATTTTGGGGTAATCTAAATTTGTAAGGAGTGATTAAATTTCCCCAGAATAAAATCAAGCTGCGTCTCCTTTGTACAGACATTACAAACGCTGAGGAAAACCGTTCGTAGGGCTGTCGAGTTACTGATGTTAGTGCACCTGTCGCTCATATCATTTTGTTATTTCAGAACTTATAGTTACATAAAGATCAAGGAAAGATACCATGGTTGTATCTTTGAACAATGAACAATCATAATGACAAAAAAACAACAACAGAAAACAGAAATATCATGGGGATGCGTACATTATATACACAGGGAAAAAAGCACAATGACAAGGTTAAATATCTTTGAATAATTCATCATAATAAAGAAAATGCATTTTTGAGGGATTAAACAAGAGTTAAATTCAACAAGAAAAAGAGGAAAACAATGGAGATTAAGTGACTTTTGCTTGTGGGTGAACATTTTTGCATATAAAATGAAGACATTAAAAACATATTCAAATAATAAAAATAATATCTTTAAGGATAAAACTGTGGGTCACAATATAAGAACTTGAATCAACCCATAATTTATTGGTTACACTACAATCACAAAATAAATGGGAAAGTTTCGTCAATATCAAGATATTTACAGATAGATGAATTAAAGTTGTTGCTTGTGATAACGTCGTACGTCACATGATAGCGTCAACATGGCGGATGATGTACGGATCGCATTCATACTTAACGAGATCAGGCTATAAAGTACTCTTTTAGCACTCGTTAAGTAAGTACTTATTGAAATTAAGTACCTACTCAGTGAGTATATTTCGGACGCAGCCAATGTGTGCAGAAGTTATAACACTTCCTGTTTCCCTTTTTTCGCCATAAATTCGTTTCAAAGCCATGGCCAAACTGTTCGAGATATCAAAAAGTTGTCCTCAATTTAGCATCATCAATGTATTGGCTTCATGCTGACCAGGTTTGGTGGCAATTATGAATTGCCTAGGAGGAGTATATCAAATTCCTTTCAGGACAGGGACCCTAAATAATCCTTAGAAAACAATTAAGCCCTCCGCCCCTTTGGGGCCTGGGCCCCAAATAGTAATAACTGGTCTCAAGGTCATTTGTCCTGATTCCTCTCACATTCATACAGCTGTAGCAGAATAACCACTGGTGTAGTTCATCACATTAACAATCAACATGGACACTCCAGGTTGTCAAAACCCGTGGAACAAGACTTTTTGTCCTCATTTTAAACAATAAATCTACTTCATAATCTTAAAATCTACTTCAGTTTTGACTGAAAAGTGTGCTTGGATTATACTAGAAAATTATATAACAATATACAAAGACATATATATATATATGTTTTTTTAATGGTTCCTTCAGTCTCCAAATACTTTTTGTGGCCACTGTATGTGATCATTTGTAATGATGTGAAATTGCGTAATATTATTCATGTGGTAAATCCTCTGGTCCTATGATTAGTGGTTCATAGTGTTTAATAAAGGTTGTCATCCCGATGACACATGTTTCTGTTTTGTTCTGTTTTTGTTCCGCACCTCATTGTGTTGTATGGACTGGTAGCCTATATACCAGTACCCTGACAATACCAGGAAAATGGGCAGGTTCTCTTACTGTACAAACCAGTTTAACGATAAAGCTTAATAGACCTTCATTTCACAATAGTTTCAAACGGAACTGAACCACTTGGCTTCTAAACGTTTTGTCTGTCAATCAGGTGTTAGCCAAGAAACTCTTTCTCTCCAGTCTTCACATTATTCTTTGTTCAAAATATTCATGTTTGAAACGTTACATCAAAAACAGCTTTACCTTGTGCCATCTCGTCTGTCAGATATTTCATAGATGCAAACTCGATCCTCAACTTTCTGTGAAAATTCAACTTTTTGTAACCATAGTACAAGCAGAATATGTATTACATTCTACAGAAAAAAAACAAAAACATGTTTGATTTTGTTCTTTGAACCATTTTAATCCCTGCCCCAAACAGGTATAAAATAACATAATTTTCCATACATTTATAATGGTTTATAAATATAACGCTGGTCAGTCAGCGTTGTCTTAAAATGCCCCTCTAACCCCAGTACCAGCTGTTGATATCTTTGACCACTGCGTAGTGCTTATTCCTTTTAATATGATCACAAATCCGACAGGCATGGGCAAGACCGAATGATGTTCCCTTTGAAACAAAATGCTCTCTCCAGGTGAAGTACTGCCTGTACAGGTCCTCGTTTTGGTCCATGAGTTTCAGATGATCAGCCAGTTCTTTTGGGGATGGAAAGTCATCCACATGGATGAAGGCTTCACTGGGTATGAACTGCTCATAGTTCTCTCTCGGTGGGCCAATAACGACAGGAACGGTCCCAATCGCAAGAGGGTTGAACAGCTTCTCAGTTATGTAGTCTCTATGAATGGAATTCTCAAATGACAAGTAGAATTTGCAAGTGGACATCAAATTTAAATAATCATCATTATTAATTCGTTTGTTGAAGTGTCCTCCATGGACTTCCACATCAATGTATTTCACTAACTCAGTAAAGTATTGCGAACGCCTAAAGTTTGGATTATAGTGACTTACTACCCAGCAAACTAATTTATCCTTCTTTGGGATAGTATAATTTTTCTCTTCCTCTGTGGCCTCTGAGAGCCAACCGTAAGGTACAGGAATATCTGAATCATGGCGGTAACTTGAAGTCAGATTAAACAGATCCTTTAGCGGGGGATATAAACCTGAATTACTTGGAGACTCCATATTCCACCATATCCACTTCTGGATGGCAGGTCGTGGAAGTTTCGGCATGTTGGATAAATCCCCACTGATATCTCTATGATGAATCATAACCCCGTGTGCTTGGTTAAACAGACTTCTGTCATCTGTTAAACGACAGCCATGGATATTGTAAGCCGAACTGCAGGGTCCTAAGCCAAAGCTAACACCAAAAGGCCACATCCAGATCAATATAATGGTTTCTGGTTCTTCTTTCTCAGCAGTAGTCAAGGGTTTTGATGCAGATGTTGTCATCAGGGGTTTATCCACAGGGATATTCACAGTGCATGTGAGGTTCTGCATCTTAAGAACACCGAGGCATGTTTTTGTGCTGATGTTATTTATCTGGCCTTGAGCAGGAGGGCATTTGAACAAGTTTATGGGTGAATATTTGAATTCCGTTGGTGTGAGGTAGAACAAATACAATATAATACATGCCAACAAAAACAAGGCACATATAATGCTCCGTTTGGTTTTGGAAGGAGTTGCTGACATCATTTTATATGTTGACATTCACTAATGTAGGGAAGAAGATAGAGAATGCATTAATAATTGGCTTAAAATATCATAAAATAAGCTTTAAAATACATAAATTGTCATGCAGTTTTTTATGGGAAAATGTTCCAGTCTGTCTGTAAGTACAATGTTTATTTATAGTGATTATTTATTATATTTTACTCTTCCTTATATGCCTGTGGAAGGTTATTTAGCATTTTAATATCTGGTTTGTTTCTTAATAATAAAAAGTCTCTTTTAATATAATTTAAGGTTCATTAATCTTTTGACATGCAAGTTTCATAGCTTAAAACGTCCTCCTCATTTTAAACAAAGCATTTATTTAATCAAGTGCCAAAAACAGCAAGATCAACCACTAACCCTAGGTTTACTTGAACTATAAGCTCAACCATAACAAATGCCTAACCCCACCACTAAACTTACCCTTAATGAGGCTATAGTTAAATTTCACGAAAGTCAAATAAAAAAGAGCAAATCAAATGCTCATTATTTTAACCAATCCAGTGATTTGTTACTTCCCTAATATTTGGTATTTTTTATTGCATACCAATCAGTTCCACCTTTGACCGGTGCACAACTCCAGAGTCAAGCCGACTTAAGGCTCCATACTCCTGGCGTGGGGGCCCTCACTAGGAGACCCCCCCCAAAAACAGACTGGGGGAGGTTTACATGACACCGTTTTCAACTAAAAACGGGAAACTTTTTATGCGTTTTGGTGGTTCATTTACATGACAAGGGCGTTTTGGGGCCTGAAAAACTTTTTGTAGCCAAGTCAATAGGGGGCAATGCTGAGGGTATCTGTAGAGGGTGTAATTTCCCTTTAAATAGGCCACTTCCTGTACCTGAATTGTTTGGCATGGTCGCTGGAAGAACAAGCTCTGGTAGGTTTATTTTAATAGGTGTTATGAGAAGTGTTTTTAATGCTTATTTATGATGTTTGTGATCTTTTTGATGTGTTGGCCAAGAGCCAGCGATTTTTAGTGACAATGTTAATTCAAATGGGCCAGCTGTACGTAATCAATTCATTGTCTCTATGTAGTTTGTTTTAGATGTGAGGTCTAAATGCCCTAATGCTGATAAAGTTTGGCTGGATAAGCGGTGGACACTGAATTACCATTACGGCACGTGAGTGTTGATACGGTCAAAACGAGTTCTGTTTCTTTGAAATGATCATTGATAACCCTGTGTTGTATGTATTAGGGTAAATTACTTTCATTGTAGAGAAGTTGCTTTAAAGGCCTTCACGTTGGCCATGTTGACCTGGATAAGCGATGGATATTAACTGCTGCTGCACTTCCTGTGGCTCCTGAAGTTGGCCAAAAGCCAACTAAGGTATTTATTTTTCTTGATGTAATGTTGTAATAACTAGCATATTTTAACCATGTTGATTGAAATAAATATATGGACAGTGGTTTCTAGTTTGAACTAATGTTATGATGTGGTGCTATTTTTCAATGTTATGTTTAGATATAATGATTTCAGTAAATGAGATTGTGGTATTTGTATAGGTTGATTTGTGTATTTTTCCTTTCTTTAGAATTCGATTTGTCCTGCGCAATTGACCACTGTTTTTCCCTACCTTTATTTTTGTTTTTCATGGTTTTTGTGATCTTATTAATTTTGTTTGGTTGGCCCATGACTAACAGTTGTACATTTTTATATGGTTTATTCTGTGAACTATAACCAGGTCATCGGTAGCTGTGAGCATAGTAACTACGGGAGGGAAGATATTCTCTCTTGATTCATACAAGTGTGGTGTGTAAAGAGTTTTTGTGTATTTAGTGTGGCCTGTAGAAACTTTGTGATTTCTTTTGGGGTTTATTGTATTTATTCATTTTGTTGTGTGCATTTTCTTTTTGAGTGTTATGTTACCTCCCATAGTTAATTGTACCACCACCTCTCACACTTACATTTGGCCAGCTTTGAGTGAAAGCAGACGAGACCAGAATCATTGTATTTAATAAAAGTGATGTTTTGATCTTTATAGTAATTTTGCCTTTATTCATTTAATTGGATAGCCGAGCGGGAAACCCTCTAGTGACTTGGGATCTCCTCCCCAAACAAAATTGGAGTGGCGTAGTCCAGTGCTGTAAAACACACACCTACAGCCTCATTACATTTTGAAAATAGTTTTCCAAGTCAAATATATTTATATAGCGCTTTTCACAATACAGATTGTATCAAAGCTGCTTCACAGTATCAATCAAAACAAATTAACAGTGTTTGTTTATTACTGGAAAAGACATCCAAGTTTGGTAGAGCTGATCAGTGGTATGATGGGTCATTTAATTTGAATATCCCCAACTGAGCAAGCCAAAGGCAACAGGTTACTTAAATGTTGAAAACGTACAATGTTTTGTTGTTCGGTCTAAATCGGTTTAGTTTTCATTGAAGGTCGTGTTTTTTACACCTCTTCTCAAGAAACCTTCACTTGATGATAGGTATTTTAATAATTTTCGACCTATTTCGACCCTTCCTTTTATTACAAAAGCATTGGAGAAAACGGTTCTCAATCAACTCCAGTTTTTTCTTAGCTTCAAATTTTTTAAACTTTCCAGTCTGGTTTTAAGCCTCTGCACAGCACTGAGTCTGCTTTATTAAGGGTTTCTAATGATATACTGTTAGCGACTGACGCTGGTGACTCTGTGATCCTAATACTGTTAGACTTAACCTCGGCCTTTGATACAGTTGATCATAAAACTCTTTTATCCCGACTAGAATATGTTGTGGGCATCCAGGGAACTGTCCTCAGCTGGTTTAGATCGTATCTAACAAATAGAAGTTTCTCTGTCAAACTGGGTAATTTTTCTTCCTCGCCAGCCCAAATCTCCTGTGGAGTGCCGCAGGGGTCTATTCTCGCACCCATTCTTTTTTTCATATATTTACTTCCTCTGGGCTCCATTTTCAGAAAGCATGGTGTATCATTTCACTGCTATGTGGATGATACACATATTTATTTGCCTCTGAAACGGAACAAAGAAACTGCTCTGAAATCTCCTTTTGCACGCCTAGAAGAAGTAAAAATGTGGTTTTCTCAATTTCTTATTTTTTAATGAATCCAAAACCGAGGTTATAGTCTTTGGCCCTCATGACAACTATAATAGCAGTAACATTGATCTGGATTATCTTTATCCAACTTCAGCTTGCATTAAGAATTTAGGTGTTCTCTGGGATCAGAACCTCAAATTTGAAAAACAAATAAATGCGGTGATTAGTTCTTGTTTTTTCCAGCTACGTTTTCTCTCTAAGATCAAATCCTCTCTCTGAGAAAACCGTAGAGATTGCTGTCCATGTGCTCATTACATCGCGGTTGGATTATTGCAACTCCCTTTACTATGGCATACCCAAACACTCTATTGCTCGTCTCCAATTAGTACAGAGAATACTGCTGCAAAGTTCCTCAAAAGAAAACGTAAATTTGATCATGTTTAACCTATCTTAAAATCACTGCATTGGCTACCTGTGCATTTTAGAATTGAGTTTAAATTATTCTCTTTGTTTTTAAATCCGTAAATAATCTGTATTGTCTGATCGGACTAGTACGTGCTGGTTCTTAAGCAACGCATGGAAGCGGTGCAGAGTGAGACGTACTGGCTGAAACTCGAGGCAATCGACATGCCAAAAGGCGCTGGGGTCCTGTCCAGGAGCCCGCGGCAGCATGTCCATTGCACATGGCACCCCAGCCTGTGGAGGAGGCATCTGTTGAGACAACAACATGCCTGGAAACTCGTTCTAAGGGCACTCCGGGCCGTATAAAGCTGAGGTTCGTCCACGGGGTTAAGGTCTGATGGCAGGTCGGAGTTACTAGTACTCGGAGCGTGCCTTGTTGCCATGCCCACCTCGGGACTCGATCACGAAGCCAGAGCTTAAGCGGTCTCATATGAAGCAATCCGAGCGGCCTGGTGCTGCTGGGGCCGGGCGGGAGTGGGCGGAAGTCGCAGTAGGGCGCGTTTGGAGGCAAACGGACTGAGGCGTCTGAGCCGGCGGCTGGGTGGCAGCAGCTGGCCGCGGGGTCAGAACATGTTTGGTAGCCTCAGTCTGCTTCTGGGCGGCCGAGAACTGTTGGGCAGAGTCCTCGACCGCGCCACTGAAGAGGCCAGCCTGGGATATGGGGGAGTTGAGGAAACGGGTTCGCTCAGCCTCGCGCATATCAACCAGGTTAAGCCAGAGATGTCTGACCACGCATGTGGACATCACCTGACCCAGGGAGCGTGCGGTCACCTTAGCCGCTCGTAGAGCGAGGTCGGTGACGGCAGGCAGCTCTTGAATGAGCCCTGAATCAGCCCTACCCTCGTGCATGTCATTGAGCACCCTGAAGGATGGCAATAACATGCAGTGAGGCGGCAGCCTGCCCCACAGCTCTATAGGTCTTTGCCACCGGAGTAGACAAAAAACCTACAGGCATTGGAGGGGTGCTTAGGGTCACCACGCCAGGTGGAGGCGCTGTGGGTACACAGATGTGTTGCCACAGAACACTCCACGGGGGGAACCCCAGAGTACCCTTGCCCGCGGCCTCTGCGGGGGCAGAGAAGGCAGAAGAGGCCGCTGAGCAGTCGCGAAAAGTCAAAGGAGGACCTCTTCATGCACGTCCGGGTAGAAAGGATTCAACTCTTGAATCAGACTCGTTATGCTAGCACACCCGAGGATGGCGGCACAGACGAGCCCTCATCTCCAGAGGACTCCAGATGTCGCAAAAGCACAGCATCAACTGCTAATATACAGTAAGCTATATATTTTTAACTTCTGGATATTGATTTTATGTAATTAAGTAATTCAATTCATGAGAGTTGCATTTGGTAGGGACATGTCACACCTGAAAATTACAGTGA